ACCATAAAATGTTGAAACCTTTATCTCAAAAAAAAAAAAAAAAAATGTTTAACAATCTACCCGCAAATAACATTTTATAGGTAAACGAATATATAAATGCGTTAAAAGAAACGTTTTTAAAATCTTAAGTGATTTACACCAATAAATCAATATAAGAATGTGAGTACTGTACGGACTGAAGTAACGCACTAGACTTTTAGTAAATGATTAGATCGTTCAAAGTGCGCTGGACGGTATGGATTCAATTAACCGATGGTGCATGGAGTACATTTATCTATTTTTTTTTATTTTACATTAGCTATTACCGCGCTGTGGATATAATATAAATTTTAATATTTTTTTTTTTTAACACGGCACACTGCATTGATCTTCGTAAAATTGTTCGTGGCATATTTTCAACCACGAACGCAACTTTTTAAGGCATTTTTTACTCCACTATACACGATATATACTTCGTTTTCAAAATATCGTGTAATCCGTTTTTATTTCCAAGAGACAATGCCTGGCTGGGAAACTGAATTGATTAAAATACGCACAGCAGAGAGATATTATGTAAAATAAAGCAACATCTATTAAAATACAAACGTCCTGAAAGTGGTGCATAATGTATTCGACTACAGGAACATAAAGAGTCACTTTACAATATTATTTTGAATCGACGTCAACGAATTTAATAAAAATATTTTAAATATTTTTCTCTAATTTAATAAGTACCAATAACGGTGAAAATAAATCCAAAATAGCTCTGTGCGAAAATCGATATTTGAAATTACGTTAATCAAAAAACGTGTTAATCAAATGAAAATAATATGTGGGTTGTGCGCTAGGGAAATGTGTTTTGTTTTTTATTCACTTCACTGATTCCGAAAGCACATTCAGAATGTCATGAATATCGATCTTGAATTTAAATATTTTAGAGTACCTAATGTACCACACACGTCTATACGCATCAAAAATTATTGACTTTATCTGTATTTATGGTAAACTACGGTTTCGCGTTATTTTCCTCTAGCCAAAAATGTATTTACAAATTTTATCCGCCACATTTTCGTTTAAATTACGAAAATTTCCATACGGCTATAAATAAATGCATGAAATTAAGACGTGTGTCAACTCCGTATAACATTTTTATTTTTATTTAAATTTTTTTCTTATTATTTCTTGAACAGTAAAATATCGAACCTGTTAATGCGTATATATTTGAGAAAACATTACTCAAACTGAAATGTCGGCGAAATATTTTTTAAAAGTGTTTCAGATTTAAACTAGGAAATTTTACAGGATTTTTACCTAAGGATACTTTGATTAGATGTATATTTTGAGTTAAATAATTGATTAGTATTTAAATATTACCATTATACTTCAATTATTGTAATATTTATACAATACATTCAATTACTTGTCGCCTACAAAACGCGAGCCTAATATTATACTCCAGTGAATTAAATTAATTAACTCTATTGTTATTCTGAAATAATGGGACAACTACAAAGTGACTATAGATCTCATCATGAAATAAAAAAGAGACAATTTTAATTAGTTCCGTATCTGAATGCAATTATTTTTATTTTTACTTTTTGTACCTACTGTTTTACAATATAATAACCCTAACACAACCCAGTGACCGAAATTAAAAATGTTAAGTTGCATAACAAGTAGACATAAAAAATATTATGTGTACACTTCTTGTGTGATAAATTTTTCGTTTCACTCAGATTCTAAAAAAATATAATTAAAAAAAAATAATGTTGATTTTATTGTTTACAGTGAATTCATTAGATTCTAGACACATTTTATGAATATTTTACAATGAAAATTAATGTATTTAAAAATATCAAATATCATTTTGGAAATTCAATATAATAATCGGCGGAAATATAGTATAATGTATATATGTATATGTGTCTAGTACTTATTAAATAGTTTTTCAAATATTATTTTTAAATTTCTCTATTTTATTCATTTTAGTTAATTAAGATTATGCATTATTCAAAAACAATTTATTTTATATGATAGTATAATTTATTGTGCTTTTCAGAAAATATTCTGTTATTATTCATTAAATTCAAAACTAGAACTTAAAAATCTTCTTGATTTTTTTCGCTGTACAAAAATATTACGTTAAAAGTAAATGTTACATCAGACATTTCATTTCCGGCAACCATTTTTCAGTGTATCAAACAATAAAAATAACACAACTATATGTATAGTTGTTTAAACAAGAAAATAGAAGCTCAATAGTTTATAACTGATTATTCAATATTTTTCCAAGCTCACGAATAAAATTTAAACATTATTGTTGCAATATTTATAACAATCGGCATACGTACACCAAACATCACGTTATTACAGTATCCCAGATGATCTAGATGGTTCCACCAGAGTTACGCGATAATATTTCGTTGAAACACAAACGAATGAAACGCATTTCAGTAAGTTATTAAATAACGAGTCAAGCTAGAACAAAACCGTTCAACGCAGGTATTGATAGTGGGTATACGAATTCTAATACTTTTTAGCACACATAATTAGTAACTTGGATAACTCCAATAAAATGGCAGATTTAAATCAAGCATAAAACCTTCTACATACATTATAATTTATCAAAAAAAAATTTAAAAAAAACCTCACAACGACTGGTTGAGCAGTTTCGGAGTGATTGCCCTCGGTCAGTAATATACTACTTCACATTTATGTACTACATACATAGATTATACAAAATTATTCAGTACCCGGTGTGACGGCACCCGAACAATTCGGTCAGTAACACAATTAATCGAAACGCAATAACTATTATAAGAGTGCTGCGTCAGTTCCATGTCGACCGTTGTCCATGAAACATCATTCGCTACTACTTCGTTTCAAATTTTTTTTTTTTGTTTTACTTATATACTGCACCGATTTCGTTCCAACTCAAAAAAGACAGAGCCTTCAGAGTTGTTATCAGAAACCTACATCACTCAACTCCAATTTCTGAAATCAAAACCGAACTTACAGCTCTCGGGCATAAGCCACGAAACATAACAAATGTGTTACAGCGCATCACCAAACAACCTCTGCCATTATTTTTCATTGACTTAGAGCCCAACATCATTAATAGAGATGTATTTAATATCAATCATTTATTCTCTTCCAAAATAAAATTCTAAGTACCCCAAGCTAATCATCAACCAATTCAATTTCTCCAATGCCAAGGTTTTGGCCACATTAAATCTTATTGTAATCATGCCCCAAAATGCGTTCGCTGTGGAGATCCTCATACCTAGGATGTCTGCTTAAAACCTGCAAATTTACTAGCCAAATGCGCGCTTTGCAGCGGTGATCATCTGGCTAACTATAGAGGTTGCCCAGTCTACAAAAAAATCTAAGTCTCACACAATTCTAAGAAGTCACACTCAGCTCAAGATAATCGTACCCATACGGACACTAATGTAATATCTACTAATGTAAACACCTCCTCCAACATGAACTTGTTTCCAAAAAAAACTTATGCCAATGCAACCAAAAACGACCCCTACGTTCAGCCTAACCTCCCTATTGATACCTTAAACACCGACAACCTAGCCCATCATATGGTGTCCTTTCTTAATAGCTTCCAAGCAACTATCAATTCTCTAATCGCCTTGCTCACTTCTCTAATAGAAAAACTCATCCATTCTAACAATGATAAATAGACAAAATATTATCCATCACCCGATCTCAATTCTCTTATGGAACGCTAACGGATTACTCCACCAAAAAAACGAACTCTCTGCATTCCTTTTACTTAATTCAATAGATTTGCTTCTTATTAGTGAAACCCACCTAACACCAAACTCCTCATTCAAATTACCTGGCTATATAATGAACCACTGCGACCACCCTGATGGCTCAGCACACGCCGACTCAGCAATACTAATAAAACCCAACATCAAGCACACAATACTTCCTTCGTTTCAAAATAATTGTATACAAGCTACAATCATTGCTCTGACCTTAAACCACATTCCTACTATTATCTCCTTAGCCTACTTTCACTTTGGCATAAAAATAAGTACGGTTGAGCTTTCGCGCTATTTTACATCTCTCGGTAACAACTTTTTAATAGGCGGTGACTTTAACTCAAAATATCCCTGGTGGGGCTTTACTTCACCAAACACCAGAGGTCGGTTACTCAATAACTTTTTACTCAATCACAATTTAAAAATAATTTCCCCATCTAACTCTACATATTGGCTCTCGCATGCCAATAGACAACCTAATGTTTTAGAATTCTTCATAACTTCCCTTCCAGGTCTAGTGTACACATCCCGTGCTGTAAAATTTCCGATAAACATTATTCGCGCATTATCGTTTCAATATCAAATTTATTCGATAATATCAACTTTCACTAATAACTTTTTGCTAGGGAAATTTTAAATGAGCTCGATGCACATTCGGTTGTCATTAGTATTAAATCAAAGAAGTTTCAATGCAGTGTAACATTAGTTTGTTGAGACACTTTTTTCTAACCAAATACACTAAGGCCAACGAAAATCAGATAATTATTTTTCAAATAATTATAATTTTACTGCACAATGTGAAATATGTTAATCACTGCATTTCACTTGAACGTATTATATTATAATAAGTAACATTGGTAATAGATAAGCACAATATGTTTGTCAAAATAGTGTACGTGCACTATAGAACAATATATAACAATATTTTATTTTATTCTTTAAATTACAATGTTTTTTTTTTTTTTATGTTATGGAATCATGTGTACCGTTTAAAGATCAACTGGAGTGAAGTAAACAAAAGTAAAAATATGTTTTTGGAAAAACAAAATACAACACCCGAGTAAAATTATTAACAAACTGGCTAAAACGATTACAACCGTTGACGACGAACATCATGAATAACATATTATCAGGGAACACACTGTACTTCAAAATCCTATTATACCGTTATTGCAACATTTACGGATCTACAAAATTGTCAAACTCACACAGGACTTATAATAACTATATTCAAACACGATGGCCATAAGCATACTCGATAGTGACAGAATATACCGTTACGAGCTTGAAGTGTTCATTAATCACATGGATTTCACGGTCCAGGGGAAAAACGCAAAGAAATCACGTACCAAAGTAAATATCAATTATACTGTTGTGTCCGTGCGTAATCATCTTAGGTTAGGATTAGGGCCTAGGGCCTAGGTTAGGACCGTGAAACGTTTTGTAAATAACTTAACAGCTCTAAGACTCGACGCACACGTTCGTTCCTTACTACGGCGGCCGATACGTCCATCTTACGCGAATCGTCCGCCGCGAATAATAACGTCGTTGCTACAGCATCATCGTACGCGTGAATCCAGTTGTTCGTAGTATCGTTGTAGTTGATGCGCATACGTCCGATTTTTGACCACGAAACGTCAGAAATTGACGACGATATTGACATCGAACTATTTATCGGTGAGATATAAAAATTATCGAGAAATATGGAACATCGCTGATGAGAAATACCGCAATCGAACCGAAACAAATAGCTTCTGGGTTAATATTCACCCGACGTATTTTCCATCTTTTGACTAAAAAGCCGATAAGATGAGAAATAATGAGATACGAGTAAAAAATTATTATTTACAATTAATCTCCATCGTTGACAATTGAATGGTGACCGAAATGACATTAGTCATGACGACATGACCGCGGCAAAAACGCATGCGTGTGCTTTCAAACACTGAGATAAAAAAACGGACTTGGTTACAGCACGAGGGACTGTTTTTCTTCTTTTCCTTCGCCTTCCTCCCAACTATTTAGAGTCAGTCACCCTTGTCCTAAACCTCCACTCATCTCGACTTTCCATATCCTCTATGCACACACCAACGGCCTTCATATCATTATCAATTGTTTCCAACCATCTTTTGTTTTTGGTCTTCCTCTTCCTATTTTCCCTCCAACATCATTTTCATTTTACGCGCGAGAGACTGTTTTTTTCTATTTTTATTTTTATTGAAATATAATTAAAATATGTACAAGCTTATGCACAATAATTATTAATTTTGATGACGTATTAACAAATCACAATCGGTACCAGATTCTATGGGAGTGCAGGGAGTAATGTGCCCGAGCCTCAAGTTAGTGCTCTGCGCAGTTTGTAATTTTAGGGATCTGACTGGATTGAAAATGTTAACAATGAAACGAAGTTGGACCGAACCGATTCCTACATTTTTTTTTAGACAGGATCGTACTGAAATAGGTTATGGCGTAACTATAAAGTAAACCGTAAACCATAAAGGTTATTCGTAACTGCAAAACCGGGATCGACCGGACCGGATCGAACCGATCTGAATATATTTTAAGAATCGGACCGAACTGAAAACTTTCATAAAATTGTGGAGTCAGATCCAACTCGGTGACTCCTTTACCTATTCTTATATGATAATCCAAACCATAATCCGGATTAATATATGTGTAGAACGGACCATGCAGAGTTGACATACATAGTATACTGCATAACTAAGCATGCATACCTCAAGTTCTAAGGAGCCTTTAAAACCAAAATGTTAAATTTTAAATTGTCTGTTTTGTTCATTTTTTGCTTCTTCGTATTCTTATTTTATATTTATTTATTGAATTTCATTCATCAAATTTAATAGCGAGTTTATTATAAATCGAAATATCCAAACGTATTTTTGAAAATGGTGCAAAAAAAAAAAAAAACGAAAAAAGAAGTTACTTTTACAGCATTTTTTCTTTGAAAGACCTGTCTAATTGTTAATTGCACATCAGCCTATTGAAACTTAGATCCGGTATTGATCTCAACGACAGAACTAATGCCAGATTAGTAGAGTAGAGTGGCACCGTGTTGCAAATTGAAATGTGAACGCCCAACATACCTCACACGTCGAAACTTTTTTTATGACATAATAATGAGTATTAAAATGTAATTATAACTATACCGTTTTTAGAACGACGAAGAATCCGTCAAAATATCCAAATACACTATTAAAATAACATTGGACGATCTCCTGGAAACCGATATCTCCAACAACGATAAAGTGAAGGAAAGTTCCGAAGACCAACTGCTTAATTATTACGACGATTTGAAAGAAAATAATTCGCTTTACGATATTACGAAGCAGCTTGACGATCGATATCACGTAGACGAGAGTCCTGTCTGCAACTTATCGGCTCTCTGTTATAACATCTCGCAAAAAGAAGACGGTAGATCGTTCAGTACCACAAAGTTAGCAATGGGTAAAGGTAATAAACAATCATTGACGGCTTTCCGTAGTAATTTATAACATCGTTACACCGTACGATGTCTTACATTTATACCGAGACTACATTTTGTTAATTTTTTAAAATTTCATCGAAAGCTAGAACTTCATTATCATTCACGTAAAAATATTTTCAACCTAATTCTGCATAATGATTCCAATAACTAACAATAACTTATTCATGAAAAATCATAATTACTATATTATTGGTTCATTACGGTCTCCATCTAAGACCCGTTGCACATGCACTGTTATTATTGGATACTGAGTCGGAGTCGGATGTACTTTTCACATTAGCCGATTATTTCTAAAATTTCCGATTAAACTATAATGTGTTATGAAATAACTATTGTACGAATATTATACTCATTACTCATATATTCTCTATACGTTGTACCAGTAAATGATGGTCAAATCGCGTCGTATACTATAATTTTTTTCTTTTCGTGAAAATTTATTCATTTTCAAAATTAACAAAAAAAAAAAAAAAAAAGATCAGTTTTATTACATTTTTTGTGGCACAAGTGTAAAGAAAGCAAACAAAAATTAACCAGAAAGAAATAACAATAGTGTAATTAAACGTGATGTTAGAAAAAATTTATAAAAATTATGTTAACAGATTTAATGCAAATTATAATACAAATAATAATCATACGCCAGGTTAAAACGTACAAATCAAAAGTTTGTAAGTGACTGGATAGTACGCATAAAATATAAACCGACAGCGATTTTATCGTTACATGTAAAACCAACCATTTGATTATATAGGCCACTGATCGTTGGAAAAACATATTTATATCCGATTTGTAACCATCGTTCAGACTACTTCAATGATATCTAGTTATTGCGACTACATTTTTATCGTATCGAAACAAGTGTACAATGAACTCGTCGAAAACAATATAGGTATATGAGATGCATTCGACAATATCGATGTGTATATGTGTGCAACGAGTCTCAGCCTGGATTACTGTCCGTTATTGTATATTTGGTAATAGACCCTTATTGTGTCCAAACCTATCTCGCCCATTTATTCTTATTCGTTATTAAAAATAATAGTTTTAATTATGTTTAATATTTTTTATTCGATAAACCATAACCATTATTCGGCATTAGGTAAGTTCCCACATGAAAAATAGCAAATACGCTTCTACATATATAAGTTCCAACATGAAATAAATTTACCAATATGAAAGTTCCTTCACGAATGAAAGCACAATAAAATGCACAACTGAAATTCATAAAATATAATATTAATTTGTCGTTACAATAAAATAAAATAATTTATTTCCTTAAAAATAATTATAAATTATAAAAAAAGTAAATTCATAAATCCGGATAAAATCTATATACTTCAACAAATACGGATAAGAATTTGATTCAAAACCGGATTTGAATATTTGGATATTCAGAAAAAAGTAAAAGAGTAAAATTGTGTTTGTTACAATTTTTATTCGTATAAGGATTTACATATTGTATTAGTTGTATTTCTTTCATGTTGGAACTTACGTACGCAATCAACCTGCTATAAATCGTGTGGGTATTTACATCCACCCAATCGTTCAGTCTGTGGTGATTTTTCTACCAATTGTCTGTACACCACAATTCTTACAGAAATTAATAATCAATGAATGACGTATTTGATTTACTTGTTTAGGAGTTGTTTATATTTTTGCCTGTATGCCAAGGATATTAATAACCATATTGCAGAAGTAAGAATAGCACATTTTAATAATAATTAACTCGTTTTTCCATGTACAACATTGGAAATTATTTGTTATTTGTTAAAAAAAAAAAATAGTTTAATTATATTAAAATCATTTTATAACACTTTATTAAATTAAGTAAATTATTAAGTTAAAATTTCAATACCAAAAACAAATATATCCATGATTACTAGAAAAATCAATAATTTTAAAATATTACAATAAAATTATTAAAAAATTTTTTTTATAAACTATTCATTCCATAATTACCCAGATAATGTATTAATTTTAATAATCATGAGTCGCATTAAAATTATCTTTTTTCACTATCGTTTTCAGGACATTGAGGTTCTCGTGTTACAAAAAAAAAAAAAAATTGAATATTTTTACAGATGACCTAACCAGTACACGTCGTATATGAGCATTATTTATTTTTTAATTAAATATTTACAAGAGCGAACGGTGTTCGTTTTTTTTAATCCGCAGTTTTAAAACCATACAATCTGTTAATAGTGAAACCACGCGAAACTTTTTTTTGTAAAAACCTCGGAAACAACTGTGATTAACAACACGTTTAAATGCACACGTTTTTGTTCCTGTAAGGGAAACCATTGTCGTGATGGTCTATGTTCGACGCACGATTGCGTTTATTAAAATAATACGGGTTTACTAATGGAACTCCTATTTGTTTTGCTTGAAAAATAAATAATTTGCATTCCCGCGTACAATGATATTTTATCAGCTATTTATTTTAGGAATTATGTGGTACCGTTTTTAATTTATTGTATCATTAAAAGTATGTGTTGCTTAATTGTTACTTCAATCGTATAACTTTTGATGGCGTAGTAAAAAACGATTATACTCAACGAATCGATTTTTTTTTCCTACCACCGAAAAAGAAATATGTAATCATTGACCAACATCGTCGACGGTAATACACTTAACGCCGCCTTTATACACATATTTATACACTTTTTCCATTCACACTTCTTCGATTCGATTAAAAATATTGTATTTTTTTCCCCGCGGTCGCCGTAACAAAAAATATCCATCCGTTACATTGTTTGATAAAAAACTGAAGTCATGAGCGCGTTACTGATTCGTTTGTTAGAACTAAAAAATAAATTAAAAGCTTTGTCGTGTGATTCCTTTGTCGTCACACACACGCAGGAATCCTCTGAAACTGGCCGTCTTCGAGGATACGGAGGACGGGCAAAACGTGTTCGGCGAGGTGTTCATCGCGTTGAACAGTTTGACGGGGTTCACGAACGCGATAGCGTATCATTTTTACGAGAAGGGATACGGCAAGCACGTTCACGCTGTGGAAGGAGTGCACGCGGCCACGGATGGGGCCGGCGAGAAGACCAACGTGGAGCTGTCGGTGGCCGTGCGGTTGACGTGCCACGGGTCGGAGGGACGGGTCGACCGGTTGGCGCTGAGACCGGACGTACGACCGCGGCAGCTGCAGCCCGTGTACGCGGACCCGAACACGTTGGGTATCGCTTTCGACGGACGGCCGATCAGACCACGGCAGGAAATGACGTACCTGGACCACGTGGACGACGCGGACCTGGACGAGCCACTCCGCTGGTGCAGAAGGTACGACTAGCGTTCGGCTCGGGGGAGACGGAACGCATACCTTGACCGAACTACCCCCGCTCTAATTCTTTTTTCCCTTTCGCAAAAACCAAGCACCGAACGTTGGTACTCTGTTTAAGTTTTTTTTTTATCAAATCACTAAAAGTCTGATTTCTTCAAAAACAATAATCCGTAAGCACCCAGCTGAGGCTGTAACACGATTGCGCCCATCTTACCTTTTTACATGAAAAAAACCAACATGATTGCGCCTAGCAAATTAGCTCGATAGCGTTCCGTGAAATATAAGGTCTTGCCTTTCTAACAATTTTCAAATATACTATTTAAAAATACAGTCGGAATGTAAAAATCAAAGTTTAAGTTAGGTTAGATTATCATTTTAACAATTTTCCTTCCCAACAGGCTTTATGTCCTATAGGACTGAAAACACGTATTTATTTATTACCATACAATAATACTATATGATAACCTGGTATTTAGTAATTTTATTGTTATTTGTTATATTGTACGGGATATTCGTCGGTTCGTGGTAATCCGTTTAAGAGTGTCATTAAGAGCTGAACACGGGGTTACGTTCAGTGTTTTTAATTAGGAACGCGAAATCTGTACGTGTTATCAGAGTACATATACTATATATTTTACTTCGACTATCTCTGGTCGCTCCACGGCTCTCTTTTGGCCTCAAACACCCACCGAAAGGGCTTCACGCAATGACGATGGACCGTAAAGTGAACACTTTTCTTTTCTCCTGTACCGCGGACCCGGGGCTTCGTCATTGATCACTGCGCAGACGTTGTAAGTCCCTGTTGCACGTGGACATTTTGTTGTATGTAGTTCTTATATAACCTACTCGTTACGTTTAGATAAACTTATCAATCGACTTACTTATACCCTTTTTCGACCGTTGTTGGAAGCACAAGTTTAAAACATTGAACGAAATTCAATGTGGCCTGTAAAATGTTCCCATATATTGATAAAAAAAGAAAATAAATGAAATTTAGTTGATTTTAAATATCAGGATCATTATGACACCATATGCCCTTAGCAAGTAAAACGTTATTCCTATAAATTGTAATGTGAAAAAATACTTTACTAGCCATTGCCTACAACTGAATAGTCCACACATAATATTACTAAATCTGAATTAAATAAAAAAAAAATAAAAGATTCGAGTAAAAATTCTCATCGATAGTACCCATCATATTATGATCATATTAATGTCATCCGCTCCCGGTGACTGTACTGATGGAATGCACAAGTATTGCTGCGGAAGGGAGAGGGATTGTAGTTGTATTTTTTTCGTAACGGTCGAGAACTATTAATTAATTATTTTTTTTTTTTTTTAAGAAAACAATTTTTAAAAAAAATATTTTTTACTGTTTACGAACACGATACTAGGGTTCAAGAATCGACCATAAGTAACACGTGTTTCAGCCCTTGCAGTGTATTGTTGAGAAATATCAGAAGAATTTTAACCGATGACGAGAAGGAGCAGTACGCGGCAGCTTGCAAGTCGATCAAGAACAGCGTCAACGACGACGTTAAAACTGCACCACAGACAATTTGTACGCAGCAAACGGCCCCGGATCATTGTTCGGAAGCAAAACATTCACAACAATAGTTGCATTGTGAATAGTTTTCTTCAGCAAACGACCAGCAACCGAACGGAGAGTAATGAACACTTAAACAAGCGACGTACATTATACCGGCACCACCTTATGGATTTTTTTTATAAATTTTCTTCTCCAATATTTAGTGTGAAATTTTTATGAATTTGTAAGAATATTTTTCAAATTTGTACGATCTTAGTTTATATATATATATATATATATATATATATATATATTAAGATAAATCTCTATTTTACACAGAAGTAATAATTAATAATATATCCAATTGAAATTCTTGTTTTGTAGAAGTAGGGTTTATTCATATTATTCCATTATTGATAATTTACTATCATTTAGACTGTCATTTATGGCACAGAGATTCCCAAACTTAAATAAAAATATAAATATTTATTTCAAATCGAAATGCGACCTACAAAAAGTACAGCTACGAAAAAATCGAAAACACTGAGATTTTCTTTGGGGTGAGGTTAAATCTCAATCAATTATGTTCGATAACGAGAAAACCAAGATCGTACAAATTTGGAAAATTGTTTTATGAGTTACATACTAAATATTTATGAAAAAAATTTAAAAATATTCCGTATAGATGGGGCCAAGGTGATGTACATAGACAAACACAGTGATGCGAACACAAAATTATATTATTATTTACTTAATATTATTTAATATTTAATAATATTTAACGAGAGATGTATAAAACTTTATGAACATAGTGCAGCCTTTATTATTTTTCCAGATAATTATATATATATATATATTATATTATATATCTCCCATTATTATTTTGCACATTTACAATAATGCGCAAAACAATAAACGAATGGAATTTTCAACGCTTAATATTCGTGTATTTTTTAGTAAAATACTTATTTTTTCATTGACATTTTTAAAATAAAATAAAAATTTTCTTTACCCTTGCTTTTAATTAAAATTGTACCATTGAAAAAATAACTTAGGATAAAGAACATTCAAATTTATGAGTAATAAAAATCATTTAACCTAGTGAGTATAGATTTTACTATCGTATATTGTGTACAGATACACGAAAAGATACTGATACACTGATACACCTATACTAGAAAATGAAGTATACAGAAGAAGAACTAATGTAGAAGTACAACAAATTTATCAAAAACCCGGTATCAACGCGTACCTTAAGAGCAAACGAATTGAGTGAGTAGGCCATGTATGGAGGTCAAATGTAATCCTAAAGAAAGTTCTGGAATGAAAAATCAATGGAAAAAGACCTAGGGGTCGCCCTAGACAGCGCTGGATAGACAGGGTTAATGAAGATATAAACAAGTGCGCCCAGGGATTAACTTTAGAAGACAGTATTGACAGAAATAGGTGAAAAAAAGTAGTAGAGGCAGCGAAAGTCCTTCAAGGACAGTAAAAGCTAAGGAAGAAGAAGATACACGAAAAGATAAAATTATAATTATTATTGTATTGTGCGTGTAGTATATTTTTATTGAAAAATCGAGGCCGAAATAAACTTATATATTTCATAATTTAAATCAATCCAAACTGGTAAAACAAACCTAAAAAAGAACACATTTAAATGCACTTGACACGTGGTAAATACTCGCATGTACTTTAGCGGGCGTATCGCCACATAGAATTCAATCGAATCACCGTCACGTTGTAAAAACGATTCCGTGGGTCACTGTCTTAACATTATTGTTCGTGCAGTGTTTTCTAAAAGTAAATTCACAATTTAAATAAGTGTTAAACAATCGTCAATGTAATGGGCAAACCAGTATAACAACATTTACGCGTGGGAAATGAATAAAACGAACGTCAAGATAATATGAACGATTTTTTGAATAACGTTTAAAAATTTTCATCACGGATGAAAAAAATTACTTATTAATTTCTATAAAATTACAAGATACACAAATTGCGGTACTAGTTTAGTTATCAAGGAAACGTAAATTAATTGTAATCGAAAATTCAATCACTGGTTTCGTAATATAAAGAACTATAAGTTTGTAGAAATGAAAGCTGCTAAAGACATTTTTTTCAATCGATAAGATATGAAAATAATAGTTCGACTATAAGTGTTTATTGTAGCCCCTGATTTAATGATATTGCAATCACAAGATAATATGATAATACAATTAACTATGTATTACAGTGACGTGTTGAACTCATTTGTGTTTTCCTAATAATGCATTGTAATCGGCCGACAACGACCGTCTGCATTGAAAGACCGATGTTTTTGGCGTACCAATTCATTACTGAATTTTTACACTATAATTAAAAAGTTTTATGCTGTAAACTGTTGGACCATAGGTTACATAAGTAAGATACATATTTGTGTACGTAGTATATTTCTATTTCGTTTGATGTACCCAGTCACTTAGGTGGCTAAGTATTATTTTGTGGTAAAAGGACTGCGAGGACCGCTCACCACCAAACAATTTAAAGGAGCGATTGCTCCGAAACAACACCTTCGCCTCGTCACTGATGTGTTACAGAAACACATCGAAAACGCAGATATCCCACCACAGAAGTTGGCCGAATTTGTATCCTCAACAATGCGTCCACCATAATTGTGATCAATTTGATAAAATATTAAACGTATTTCGTTCAATTCATCACATCCGAACATATTTTATGTCATTGGAATTTTAAAAAACAAGCAAAATTATACTGATTTTATCTCAAGAAATCCGGGAGCAAAAAAAAAAAATTCTGGATAAAAAAATAATATATTAATCGCAAACACGAAAAAAAAAAACTCGAATAGACAGTATTATCGTACACATTTTCACCAGTTTTTTAATTAAAAATATTTATAGTATATTTTTTAACTGTACAAGTTTTCATCCGACACTTCATACTTTTTTTAATTATTAACAACAATTCATGTCTAAAAAATGGGAAGGAAAATATTGATTTTACAAAATGATCACTAGACATAATTATTTACGCATGAATAATGATTTTTTTTTACAGGTCACAATTTACATAATATGGATAAAGTATATCCGGGTAGAAATCTACTAACGATTGGCACAAAAATTAAAAATGACTCGCAATTTATAGCGATCCAATTAAAGGAATGCAAACGTTGGAAATTGAATCAGGCAACATAAGTAATTTATGTCGCAGTTGATCGTATACGTAAATTATGCGTGAATCCCGAATTTTAATTAGGCATATGGATTTACGTCATAAGTGACATGTGCAGACCACAAAATACAACTCAATACATATATAATACGAGCATAGGTAAATTAAAGGCGTTCCTGCATATAGTACAGTAACCTTACCGCACTTACAATCACAAAATATTCGTCCTCTCCGCATATTTTAGATTACGCGTAATCGTAAATCATAAATGTGCTGTCCACGATATAATAACCATTCTCGAAATCACATAAATTCCATTTCTATTCCGTCGTTCGGTACTCTGACACGTCTCCTGGCTATCCTTCGTTGAAGTCAAAATATTTCAATACATTCGTTAATACATAAAGATATCTCAGGTTGATATATAGGTGTCTAGACGATCAATTCATCGTCTGGAAGGGCTAAGCAGGTTTTTTTTAAAGAAAAAAAGTTTTTATTTATAAAACTGTTTAATAATGGTAATTTTATTTTTTACAATTTAATTTTTATATAATTTTAGCGCACTGTATAACTTGTATGTTATGTATATTAAGATGTCAGTCATTTTACTCAAAAAACACGATAATTGGGTTACCTGCATATGGTGAAACTTTTGTGCGTAGTTTAGAAGCGAACACTTCTAAATTCATCGGTATAAATAATAAGTAATTTAAAAACTGTAATGTTAAAATTTAACCCCACACGACAATGTTATTATATCAGGATTTATTTACCCATCGAAAAAAAAAAACAGCTATAATTTATTAAACGACATGAACAGTTTTGTTGACGGTGTTCTCTTGGTTAATTTTCGATATAAGTCAGACGAATTTTGAAAAACGCTTGTAAAAGTGTAACTATCAATAACAACTACACACAAATTATTATCGTTAAGCCATCGCTTCGTTTACAAGTCGAAATCACGTATTGAAAAGTATAATTTAATATTACTTTAAGTGGCGTTACTTCAAGAGCTGAAAAAACACTCAACTGTAAACCGTAACAGTTCACGTACAAGACAAGATTTGCGCGTGACGCGGTTTTGGGAAAACCGTAATCATATTATATTGCGACAATAATCTTCGAGCAAGATTATAAAATTGATTTTCCGTGTAAAAGGCAATGAACGACTGACAATTTTTACGATAGCAACGTGGATCGAATACGAGAGAAACCTATAAGCTTACTGGATCTCTGTTAGACGTTTAAAACTTTTTATTCGCTATAGGTATTGCAGAAAAATTTAATTCAACATTATTACTAACAGAATAAGTGATTGTATAGGTATAGTACAGAGAAGAATAACAAAAAACAAGAACTAATCCCGTAAGATATTAATGTGGGTAAGACGGTCAACGAGATCATTAAGACGCTGGATGTGTATAATAATATGTCGGACAAGAAACCATCGTTGATTTGTTTATGAAATCACGAATATTAAGTTGACATTTACTGCTGATTACAAGAATATCATTTACAACAATATCGATTTATAAACACACTCCGATATTCAGTTTATTTATGTTTTTAGTAATTTATATAACATTACATATTATTTTGTTTTAGATAGTTAAACCAAGAACTTCAGATAATTGCAATCTCGACTCTGAAAATGATCATGGTTAGTGAGTAAAAACATGAACTATCATTGTATACCTAATACTTGCGAATAGTTTTAAAATAAAATATATTGTCGACAAATCCCATGTCTTACTCCTTGGCCACGTAAAGCACCGTTCTATCACGGATCACTTCGATAGTTTCTGCTGTAGATGTTTGATAAATATCGCGGTATTTTGTTTAATAAACGGTCTTTTAAAAAGTCAAAACGCAAGTTGTAATGAAATGTCATATTACTTTTTTTTCTTATTGTACT